CCATTTGTACGTACCAGACAATCAGCAAAAAGCATTGAAGTACAATTAAAAATCCTTAGCATTAGAAAATCCCAACGGTTTAGTTCTGAGGCAACAAAATGCCAAATGTGATCTCCATAAGAAGTAATGAAAAAATTTACACCAACGGTTTAGCATATTTTTCATATGATCTTAAGTAAAATGGAGACAAGAACAATATGATCATGCAAGTAAATACAGTCAAGTAGCCGAGCTAGATACAAAAACCAAAAGGAAATAAACTACTAGTCAAACAGGGCATAAATATTCACCTTCTCCATCAACGTGGATGCTTCCACCTTCAAGAATCATAGAATGTGGAAACCTAGGGAGATGCTCAATTTCCAGAATCTAGAACCAAATTGAAAATAAAGATCAATTTACTAGCAAAGCTAAATCTGTACTACACCTGAATAAAGAAGGGATATGAGCAGTAGATGGATATGATCTATTCTGTTGCACTAACCTTCCTTGCCACAAGAAGATCAAGACTCCAATCTTGATAGCAACCATCATCAACCCCTGAATGAAGTAGTCATTAAAAAGGATTACATTTTCACATATAATATAATTTTATTTTGATATCCATCATCTGTTTACAGTCTTTCTGACAGATTGAGATTGTATGTTTTAGTGCCTACCACCCCAACTATTGAAATTCCAATCAATTCCAGCAACCGGTTGCTCTGAAGCAGCAGGATTGGATGCCTTCTTATTAACAACAAACTATGAGAGAGAAACCAAAAGAAATTGAAAAAAAAAAATTCATTTAGTTCTAAATGATATCAAGCTGAGAATCAATTCTATCAGGATTACTGAAAGAAAATATCCAACTAAAAACTCATCTATTAAATATGAAAAGAGATTAAATTTTAATGAATAAGGAAGAAGCTCACTGTTGGCCCTGTATCGCGAAGCCAAGAATCATTCATGCTCATCTCAATAACCCTGATGTTTTCAGGCAGATGGCTTCGTGCATTCTCCCACTGAGCATACAAATGAATTAAAATTGGTCAAGCCAATAACCAAATGAAAAGCATTTATGAGATTGAAAGGTTTCATTCGTTGCAAATTGTACCAACCTGAGCAGGACTTGCACAGATAGTCACAGGCTCAAATTTGGAGATTGCAATTGCAACCTTCATGAACACTTGCTGGACATGCACTGCATTCTCTCGCCAGTTATCTAGGCGTTCCTGTTATGTAAAAAGAAGTGTCATCACAAAAACCAATCTTTATAACTGTAATTTTACACTTGGTTAAAAACTATTTTAATCACATCCAATATCCTAAATTTTACAATTATATATTCATATTACCACATGTCAAGAAAGAAATTATAAAAATATATCGCATGAATTAAGCGTAAAGCTAATTTAGAATTACAAAGATATTTTTATTCAAATTTGTATCTTATTTGTACCGTATTCTTATTTCTAGGTCATAAATTTCAAATCCGAAACCAATTCAAACAATCATAAAACCATCTACTTGTCCACCTATGAAAGCAGAAAAATATGGCCTTTTAAGGACAGAAAGACATCTAAAAACATAAAAGCTTCATTACCCCTCAAGAAAAGATATCAAAATTTTGGCCAAACACATTCCGGGAATCGATCTCAATTAAAATAACAACTCACTCGAATGTTTTTGTAAACAAGATTAATTTGAAGGATCATATTAGGGACCTAGAATCTTCCCCTGAACTTTTTTGAATTGTTGATTCAAAACTGTACCACAAGCCCACACACGCATATATATTAGGTATTGCATCAAGTGCTCATTTTCTTTGCTAAGAAATTCAGTAACCAAACTACTTGTCCGTGGACTAATATCAAACATCTTGTACTCATTTTCCTTCGTTACCCGGATAGATTCATGGCATGTGCCTTCTTCTCTAAGAAACTTCATGATATGTGACACGGGAACACAAGTACGACAGCAATTTGATTAGGCTATAGAGAGAGACAAAGAGAGAACATTGCAGCTAATCGAAGTCGTATAAATTCTCTCGAAAACAAGGGTATGATTATTATCGAAGACATAAACGAGGGAAAATCATCGAACAGATGGATAGCATTCGAATTGATCTGACAACAGAATCCTTATAGACAAAACCAGACGAAACCCGTCGCCCGACAGAGAGAATCCATGTCGAATCACAAACTGCAGAAAACCCCATCAATCCTGAGTGATCAAGATCACTGTTGGGTACAGAATTTTGAACAAAACATGCAAAAACCAACCAATTCGATTAGTATACTTACAGGCCAACCCATCCAGCACCGAGAATGACGCTCCCACTCTGCAGGCATGTGATATCCACGCGCTGCTGGGGTCCCTTCAATTACCATTTCTAACTCCTCCGACTGTCTCTCGCTTTCGCCGGGCTCTCTCGATCTCCTCCGCTATGAAGAATGGATTGATGTTGACGCCGTCGTTTTGGTCAGACGCAGTCCACGGAATGAAGTTTGCTGCTTTGATTATTCCTGCCTGACGGC